GGTACTGTAGGAAAATTACAATAGATTATTATAACAGGACTGCATTTTGACAAAGAGGGATCAAGGGTTTCAGTAGATTGAGAGTTCGAGAAATCAAGAGTAAATTTTTTTTATTTTTTTTATTTATATGGGGGAAAAAATTGGGACCAAAGACTCACTTCAAGCAAACAAGAACTCTGAGAGATCAAAGTTCAAGCCATCAAGAGTTACCTGTAGTTATTATCACATAGCTTTTATAATCTATTAAAATAAGTAACAATTTGACAAAGTACTCAATGTAAAGGTAACATTTTTCTATGTGCCTGACTATGTATGTTTCTGTCCTGCTGTGATCAACCGACCAAGTTGTGGTCATGTAAACTACAGGGGGTGATAAAAAAATTCGCTAACTATCTCTATATTTACAAAACCACATTTCAGATCAGAATAAAATTTGGCACACATATAGTCATACACATGTTCTATAAATAGCAGATACTATGTAATGTTTTTCACTATGTTTGTGACGTCACAAAGTGAAAATGACGTCAATATGTAGGTGACGTGTGACAAAAAATGATTGACTGACAGTCATACTCAAGCAACGAAGGGCTGTAAAGTTTAATATATATCTTGGAAATTCCTTTGCAGTAGCATATGATAATGTGTACAAGGTTTATGAAGACAAAAAACTTGCCAGAAGTTGAATCATTAACTGAATTGATTGTTTTAGTGAAGGAAGGGAGATGGTTAAAAATGATGTTTGTTCTGTTGCCCAGTGAAAGTAAACTTGGGAAGAGATGTGTCCTTAATTGAACAATTTGTTATGAAAGATCACCAAGTTAGAGTTAAAAAAATAGTTGAATATCTTAACAATAATATAATTATTAAATCCCTAAAATATTGTTTCCTTTAGACCTTAAACATATTAGATATGATAAAAAGAAGGCGCCCATACTTTATCCATATTGGATAAACGACTCTCCCAAGAGAGAGGACTTGGGTTGTGATGGTCACCATGCTCATTCTGGGAAAGGATATCCTTATCCACTCATCCTATTGCGGAGATTGGGCCATTTCTGACAAATGGACTGTTCTGTTCTGTTGTACGTGATAAGGTACAGATCAAGTTTGGATTTTGTTTCGCTTCAATAATGTTCCTATTCCTTTTTTAATTTTTAGCTCTTCTGAGCCAAAGGCTCAAAGAGCTAATGCTATGGTCATTTGTGCGGTGTGCGTAAACTTTTTAGAATATGGGCCATAACTCAAGAACCCCTTGGCCAATTATTGTCAAATTTGTCACAGGGTATCCTTGGCCCAAGGGCTCCCTTTTATACTAAAACTGGGGTTGTGACCCTTTAACAAGGGGAGATAATTAGGAAAATAGAAACAAAAGTACTGGTTGCTAAAAAATCTTCTTCTCAAGAACCACTGGGCAGATTATCACCAAACTTACACAAAAGGATGAGGATATGTTGTAGATTAAAATTTGCACGGGGATTTACCCTGGGGCAAAGGGCGTGGTCTCAAGGTCACTTCAAATTTGACCAAAAATTACATTTTATTAAAATATTGATATTTTGCTTACTATAAGGACTAGGATCATCAAATCTTGTCAGTTGGTGCATCTAAGGACCTCATATCATGTTGACTCAAAAGTAGGTCACGGTGACCAATTTTTTAAATTTTGCGGCCATTCTAATTCAAAATGATTTAGAGGTATATTTTGAACAATTTAAGGCCTATGATCATCAAACTTTGTAAGTTGATGCATCTTGGGTCCTCAAAGTACGTCAACTAAAAAGTAGGTCACCTTGACCTACTTTTTGAATTTTGTGGCTAATCATTTTTAAAACAATTAAGGTCATTAATTCGAATACGGGGAGGCTTAGAATCATTAAATCTTGTAAGATGATGCATCTTGGGGCCATAAAACATATTTATTAAAAAGTAGGTCACAGTGACCTACTTTTTGAACTTTGCAGGCATTCGATTTCAAAGCGTTTTAGAGGCATAATTTGGACATTTTAAGTCCTATGATCATAAAACTTTGTAAGTTGATGCATCTTGGGTCTTCAAAAAAGGTCAACTGAAAAGTAGGTCACCGTGACCTACTTTTCAATTTATATGACTATAATTAAATATTTCAGGTACTAATTGGCTTAGAATCATCAAACTTTGTCAGTTGATGCGTCTTGGGTCTTCGGAGTAGGTCGACTAAAAAGTAGGTCACAGTGACCTACTTTTGAAAATTTATGGCGTTAATTTAATATTTCGGGTACTAATTGGCTTAGAATCATCAAACTTTGTCAGTTGATGCATCTTGGGTCCTTGGAGTAAAACAATTGGAAAGTAGGTCACTTTGACTTACTTATAAAATTTTATGATTATAATTTTTAAAAATACTTTAGGTATTAATTGGCTTAGAATCATCAAACTTAGTTGATGGGTCCTCAGAGATTGACAAGTGATAAGTAGGTCACCATGACCAACTCTCAGGTACTAATTGGCTTAGAATCATCTTGGGTTCTCAGAGTGTGAATTGGAATTTCAAGGGTTCATGTAAATATACAGGATACTTCGAGGCTTCAAATAGAAGTGATAGGTTGTACAGTTTATCAGAAGAGCGATTCAAGGCCCATGGGCCTCTTGTTTTTTTCATATCCGTGCATGGTAAGAAATATAAAACACAGAAAAATCTTTTAGCTTCTGTGAACAGAATGCTATTGAGCATGTCATGTGACCGCCTGATTCGTGCATGGGCAGACCGGTGGCAGATGTGCATTAAAATCGGAGAGGACTACTTTAAAAAATAATGAACACTGAAACCTAATTTCATTTCTTTTATGGAAGTTATTCAATTAGTTCTCGAACTTTTTGATCACCCCTCGTATAAATGTTTTGTACACCTCAGTTACTGTAGATTCAAATTTGTTCAAATCATGACCTCTGGGAGGAGGGTGGGTCCACCAAGGGCAATCAAACTTTTAGATAGGAATGTATCTGAAAAATATTCTTCTCAAGAACAAGAAAGCCTTTATTAAATATATAATTAGTCCCCTACCGGAGGGGACTAAAGGTTTCCTCCTCCTCTGTCCGTCTATTTTTCCCTCCTTTGTTAGTCTGTTTCACTTGGTTTCCGCCGCATTTTTTCCTAAACGCTTGCATGAGCTCATTTTTATGGTATGCGAGTGTATCTTGATGAGTTACAGATTAAGTTTGGATTTTATTCCACTTCAATAACTTTTGAGGGAATTATGACCTTTTCAGCTAACCTGAGCTGAAAGCTCAAGTGAGCTTTTCTGATCACCCGTTGCCCGTCGTCTGTCCATCTGTCCGTCCGTCTGTAAACTTTTCACATTTTCAACTTCTTCTCAAGAACCAATTGGCCAATTTTAACTAAACTTGGTACAAAACATCCTTGGATGAAGGGGAGTTTAAATTGTTAAAATGAAGGGCCAAGCCCCCTTCAAAGAGGAGATAATCAAGAAAAGACAAAAATTCGGTGGGGTAATTAAAAAATCTTCTTCTCAAGAACCATTGGGTCAGAAAAGCTGAAACTTTTGTGGAGCATCCTGGGGAAGTGTAGATTCTAAATTGTTCAAATCATGACCCCCAGGGGTAGGGCAGGGCCACAATAGGGAATCCAAGCTTTACATGAAATATGTAGAAAATATATTTAAAAATCTTCTTCTCAATTAGAACCACTTGGCCAGAAAAGCTGAAACTTATGTGGAAGCATCCATGGGTAGTGTAAATTCTAAATTGTTCAAATCTTGATCCCTGGGGGTAGGGCGGGGGCCACAATAGGGAATCCAAGTTTTACATTGAAATATGTAGAAAATATATTTAAAAATCTTCTTCTCAAGAACCACTGGGCCAGAAAAGCTGAAACTTATGTGGAGGCATCTTCAAGTAGTGTAGATTCTAAATTGTTAAAATCATGACCCCCGGGGATAGGGCGGGGCCACAATAGGGAATCCTAGTGTTACTTTGAAATATGTAGTAAAAATCTATAAAAATCTTCTTATCAGGAACCACTTGGCCAGAAAAGCTGAAACTTATGTGGAAGCATCCTACGGGTTAGTGTTGATTAAATATCATGACCACGGGGGGGGGGCACAAAAGATATAACAACGCAGGAAATCTGGTAGAGAACAGCAGGGCCAAAGTTACTTAGGTGAGCGTTGTGGCCCATGGGCCTCTTGTTAATTTTTAATGTTTTTCTGCACTTTATTCCTAAATGTTTGCAGATATTGAGCTCATTTTTGGTATGTGATAAGGTACAGATCAAGTTTGGATTTTGTTTTGCTTCAATGATTTTTGAGGGAATAACAGCCTTTTTAATCTTTAAGGGTTTTCGCACTTTTTGTTTCTAAATTTTTGCATATAGATATTGAGCTGATTTTTGGTATGTGACTCTACCTTGGTGAGTTATAGATTAAGTTTGCATTATGTTTTGCTTCATTGATTTTTTGATGGAATTATGGCATTTTCAATTTTTAATGGGAACCAGATTATACTTGCCAGTAGGGGACAAGTATTGCTAATGCAATACTCTCAGAATGCTTGTTAAGAAAGCATCCACACTCAGGTAGTGTAGATTCAAGTTTGTTAAGGTCATGGCCTATGGGGTAAGGTGGGGCCACAATATGCTATTAAAGCTTGAAATATAGGAGAAAATTTGCCAGTGAAAAACAGCAGTAGGGCCTAAAGGACCCAGGTGAGCATTGTGGCCCATTGGCCTTTTGTCAAAATGGCAATTTCTCCTTAACCTATGTTTGTTGGTGAGGTACAACATATAATTAACTTTAGACAGCTTCATGTAGTCCCATTGTGACCTCCTATTTTGCATTTTGATTGGACATGTCTCTGGTTTCATATAGCAAATCATGGACACTGCCATTCTTTCTATTATATTAGACTTACCATTTCTTATCTGCAAAAAAAAATTAAATAAAAATATAAAAACATAAAGGTTGTGTGATGCATTGTTTAAATGTAGTATTTGGTATTTGTAGGTAAAGGTGGGAGGAGTTGGTGACGAATGGAGAAATGAATTACCTGATGCTTTTGATATTCATATGCTAAGCACACATATTTTAGGTCAGCATGGAGGAGAACTCTTAGCAGAAAGACATTATTCCTTCTTTACCCCTGGTGTTCTTGGTGTGATTTGTTTGAAAACTAAGGTTTGTAATAATTATTTGACTGAAAAAAGCATCTTTTCGAAATCGATTTGAAACTAAGAAAAATATTTCTTAGATCTTAAAACAGTCTTTGAAATATTTCACTTTCCCATGATAAAGATGAGTGAATGGTGAGTGAAACTTGAGAGAATACTGTACAAACGGAAAGCAAATGGTGTATGAATCCTGAACATGGTGAATGATAGGTGAATGACCTAGTGCAGAATGCAAATGAAGCACAAATGCAAACACAGTGTAATTTTTGAATGCAAGATGGGTAATTTTTATGCCCCTCCATGAATATGGATTTGGCATATAGAGTGCTTGTCATGTCTGTCTTCTGTCGCACTTTGCGTTCTCAGTTCAAAGCTGAGTTTCAGAAAAACTATTCAAGATACCTCCACTGGAAGGAGAGGGGGGTATATTGTTTTATCCTTGTGTGTCAAGCTATTTTGAATAACTTAATAAAGCTATGTAGCTATTTCAAGCTATTTTGCTAAATCAAGAGATTGTTCTGGACCTGCTTAAGGGAGCCTAGGTGGCCCCCAGATCCCCGGCCTATTTTGGACCGTCTATAAATCTGCTTTTTAGCTCACCTGAGCTGAAAGCTCCAGTGAGCTTTTCTGATCACCCATTATCTGTCGTCCGTCCATCTGTAAACTTTTCACATTTTCAACTTCCTCTCAAGAACCACTGGGCCAATTTTAACCAAACTTGATACAAAGTATCCTTGGGTGAAGGGGAGTTTAAATTGTAAAAATAAAGGGCCAAGTTCTCTTACAAGTGGAAATAATCAAGAAAAGACAACAATAGGTGGGGTCATTAAAAAATCTTCTTCTCAAGAACCATTGGGCCAGAAAAGCTGAAACTTATGTGGAAGCATCTTGGGATAGTGTAGATTCTAAATTACTGAAATCAGGACCCCCGGGGGTAGGGGGGGGGGGGGGGCACAATAGGGAATCCAAGTTTTACATTGAAATATATAGGAAAAATCTTTAAAAATCTTCTTCTCTAGAACCACTGGGCCAGAAAAGCTGAAACTTATGTGGAAGCATCCTTACGTAGTGTAGATTCTAAATTGTTAAAATCATGACCCCCAGGGGTAGGGCGGGGCCACAATAGGGAATCCAAGTTTTACATTGAAATATATAAGAAAAATCTTTAAAAATCTTCTTCTCAAGAACCACTTGGCCAGAAAAGCTGAAACTTATGTGGAAGCATCTTGGGGTAGTGTAGATTTTAAATTGTTCAAATCAAAACCCCCGGGGGTAGGGCGGGGCCACAATAGGGAATCCAAGTTTTACATTGAGACATATAGGGAAAATCTTTAAAAATCTTCTTCTCAAGAACCACTTGGCCAGAAAAGCTGAAACTTATTTGGAAGCATCTTGGGGTAGAAAAGATTTGAAATTGTTCAGATCATGATCCCCCAGGATAGGGCCGGGCCACAATAGGGAATCCAAGTTTTACATTGAAATATATAGGAAAAATCATTAAAAATCTTCTTCTCAAGAACCACTTGGCCAGAAAAGCTGAAACTTATGTGGAGGCATCCTCAAGTAGTGTAGATTCTAAATTGTTAAAATCATGACCTTTGGGGGTAGGGCGGGGCCACAATAGGGAATCCAAGTTTTACATTGAAATATATAAGAAAAATCTTTAAAAATCTTTTTCTCAAGAACCACTTGGCCAGAAAAGCTGAAACTTATGTGGAAGCATCCAGGGGTAGTGTAGATTCTAATTGTGCAAATGAGGACCCCCGGGGTTAGGGCGGGGCCACAAAAGGTATTTCAAGGGGAAATCTGGTAAAGAACAGCATGGCCAAAGTTACTCAGGTGAGCGATGTTGCCCATTGGCCTCTTGTATCATTTGACTTCAGAATCATGTCTGCATCTTAATCTTTGCATAAATAATTTGGAAAATCAGTGATAAATAGACAAGGATTGATTGATTGATTGTATGTTGTCTTACGTCCCATTTGAGAATTTTTCACTTACATACTGTAGAGATGTCACCATATACTGGTGAAGGGCTTCAAATTTTGACCTTGACTCAGCACTCAGGGCCATTGAGCAGTGAGGGATCTTTATCGTTCCAAAACAATTGAGGTTTATTTTTCTGTGTAGTACATCATCAAAAAGTTGTGTAATGAGCCTCCTTGAATGAATTAAATAGTTAGCATAGTGGCAATTAATAAGGAAAGTAATAAATGGATTATTTATTATTAAGAAGCTTTTTTTATATGTTTAAAGAATATGACAGCTTACTATATTCAGAGATAGTCAGTTATAAGTCTTAAAAACATTTTAAGATATATGTATTCAAGTACACCATTGTGTTGTGATTTCAAAACAGTTCAGTACTTCATTTACCACTTGCTTCAAGTCATCACAAAAATTCATTCATTGCTCATTCTCAGGTCAAAAACTGTGTCTTTGCATCATTAATAAGCCTACAGTGTTTCATGATAACAAGAAATTGCCAGAACAGATATTATTTACTATCCCCTCGCAACGTCATTGGAGGGGATATAGTAAGGCAATCATGTGTGTTGTTTGTGCATGAGAGAGTTAGCGCTGTACGAAAGGGAAGTCAAGTAATTAGCATCGGGATCTATGTTGAATGCTGTTTCGATTTATAGATATGCTCTTTGTGAGGGAATGCTCCGCTTCGTGATGCCCTTGTTCATATGTGTTGCTATGTTTATTGTCATCTCCAGTTAAATGCAATAAAACTAGTGTAGTCCAGTTGTTGTGAATTTCTAAATCATGCTTATGTTAACCGTTAACCATTATTCAGAAAACATCTTTTAAGGGCATACACAACGTACCTTATCTACTGATAATTTTTCAAGATATTTTTTATTTAAGATTATAGTACCATCAGATGTTCGTAGACAAAAAATCAGCATGCTTTACCAGGGGTTTTGAAAAGATGTTAATTGATGAAAATTCTTGTATTACTCAAAGAAAAATATACAAAAACTACTAAACATATATTCTAGATGTTTTGTTTATCCAAACTTGTTTTAGAAGAAGTGCAACAGCATATATGGACATTAAAATGTAGCACACAGTTCCTATAAGTATTGGAACTCTTCAACTCCAGGGAAAAATACAATAAAGTTCAAACTACGTTGCATATGTCCTTAAGTAAATTTCAATATTTTAAACATTGTCCAAATGACTCTTAGAATGTTGCTCAACTTCAATGCCTTGGATGAGACAACCTTTACATTATAATGTTTAATTAGGTGATCTTTTTAAATTTTTCATGGCCTATACTTTTTTCATTTAGTTAATCATCACATTCATGGAAATGACTGAGGACCATTACAAATGCATAGAAAAGGGCCTTTCCTGTGATGAAAAACGTGCCTCCATCTCTTACACAAAACCATATGATTACTGGAATGCAAAAGACAGAGAAGAAATTTATGAAACACTTTTTTGGCTTGGCCATCTTCAGTCATCAGAAAAATAATATATGTTAATGATGCTAAAACTTCTGTATCTTTTTATCTCTTGAAAACTTCATTCATTGAGAAAAAGCCTTTTGCAATTAAATAAGGTAAATCTGAATTTGTCACTGCTAAACTTCCAACTAAAATTTTAAAATCTGCTAAAATATCATTGATGAAGATGTAATACCAGGTAAATTGCATTTTATAAAAGAAATTTTTAAAAAATGCTGATAGCTACATGTATGTTACAAGACTAAGTGAACCTTTCTTTCCCTTGCACTGACATTAGTTCAGCATCATCAGAGAACTTTCATGAAGCAATATGCGAATACTAGGACTAGTTTTGTAGAACAAGAAGGCTACAAATTATGAATTCAATGAGTTTGTTTTTATTAAAGGCCTCTTGGGCATGTATAAATTTGCAAAATGAATCTGTATTGTTATTGTCAAGTACATTGTGATAAATTCTCTTCACATGAAGAAAAAGATTACAGATTGTTATTTCATTACATTATTTAGTGTAGAATTCAGCATCATCAAAATCCTTACACAAATGAGGTAATGTATTAATAATTTTACATAATTTAAGATAAAATTTAAACCATTTTTGTATGTATATATGTCTGTATGAATTTGTATATTAGCTATAAAATGAATTAAGTAATTTAAGATAAAATTTAAACCATTTTTGTATGTATATATGTCTGTATGAATTTGTATATTAGCTATAAAATGAATTAAGTTATTGAAATTTTTGTTAAGGCATTTTAATATTCTTATTTATACATTTTTTCCTTATTAAATGGATATGTGCTCAATAGTTATACAGGATTGAATAATTCATTTTTTTTTATTGATTTTTTTTTTCACCTGTAGTTAAATTTATCCCATTCAAATATTTATTTATTGTTTTTGTATAATCCTGATCTCAATTTTTATGCAGTCTTTGTACATGTACTAAATTTTTATCAAACAATGTAATAATTTTGATGTACATGTAAAGTGTAATTCAAAAACTATTATTTGTGTACTATCTTTCTGAATCTCTCTGAAAGTATCTCATTTATTTCATCACTGCATGCCATTTTGTCACAAATGCACCCATGTGCCCATTAAGGGTGTGCAATAAATTCCATTTGTGATCAAGCTGTCAGTAATGTAACTGATTTGTTCATTGGTGTTTTAAAGTTTTCCAAATACTATGTGTTTTATTTACCAATGTTGTGTCAATGTATTTCTTGCATTTTTTCAGAACAGACTATGTGACATTGCTTAAAAGAACCAAGGTCCAAGTAAGCTTTTCTGATCTCATTTTGTCCAGCATTCGTCTAGCTGTCCATCTGTCTGTTTGTCCATCTGTAAACATTTCACATTTTTAACTTCTTTTTAAGAAACAATAACTCTGTGATTGGGAGTTTGAATCTCGGCCGCGACTGACTTAAGTCGATAAAAAATGGGCAGCAACTGTTCCTTCGCCATGCGCTCGGCACTTTGAAGTGAAAGTTGCGGGTCCTTCGGATGAGACCTTAAAAACCAAGGCCCCATGTCACGGCAGGCGTTGGCATGATAGAGATCCCTCACTGCTCAATGGCCCTGAGTGCCGAGTAAAGGTCAAAATTGAAGCCCATCACTTGTATATGTTGACATCTCTATATGAGTGAAAAATATGAATGAAAAATGGGACGTAAAACAATATACAATCAATCAAGAACCACTGGGCCTGTTTCAACCAAACTTTACAAAAAGAATCCTTGAGTAAATGGGATTCAAGTTTGTTCAAATGAAGGACCATACCTCCTTCCAAGGAAGGACAGTAAGGATTTGTGAAAATTTAGTGTTATCTTTCCAAAATATTCTCCTCAAGAACCACAGGGTTAAAAAGTATGAAACTTGTGTGGAAGCATCCTAAGGTAGTGTAGATTCAAATTTGTTCAAATCATGACCTCTGGAGTGGGGCAACATTGGGAGATCTTTTTTTCTTATATAGTAATACATAAAGTCTTAGAATATCTTCTCAGGAACAGCAAAGCCATAATTAATCATATTTATATGGAATCATCCTCAGGTAGTGCAGATTAAAGTTTGTTCAAATTATGAACTTTGTCTTCCTATCCACCTGATCCCTCCTCTAGAATTTCAAGGGGTCCGTGTATATGCCCTCCTCACAGATTTGTATTGTAAGATATTTTGAGATCGATCACTTCGTTATCTTCACCCTTTTCATTTAATACTGAACTGATTTATGCATTTGGCTAATGGTTGAACAAAATGGTATATGGTGCTGACAAATTTAAATGTATAATCCCTTGTATTTTGTTCCTAATAGAGGATATCTGTGAAACCAGACCATTTTCTTTTATTTACATGTATCACTTATTGTAAGGTTGATAAGTGATTGAAGTACCATAGTCATTGAAGTGCATGCTTTGCACTCAGGGCTCCCAGATTCAATTCTCAGTTTTGGTGCTGTATCAAACATTTGTGTTTGTTTGTTCCTTCATCGATTTTTTAGCCAGATGTGTTTGGATCGATATGTTAATTTTACGTCTATTTTGTGTAAAAGTTGAACATGAATGATAGCATATTAACATAAGGTGTACTATTTACTCCATTGTGCATTTTCAAATCAAGTCTGAATCGTATCTTCCTCACTGTGAAGCCAATGACCACTGAAGTGAGTTAGATGATGTGTCTTAGGGGAAAGATGGTTTTTTAGTGTGAAAGTAGGTTACAGTGCCTCTTTTTTAAAATTTTGAGGTACAAAATTGTGTTTGGATAACGTATGTCACAAGTTAAGCTGTCTTAACAAAAGATCACTTTAATGCATTTTTATTGTAAGGTGTTGCAGTGTAATAGTAGATCATCATAACCTCATTTTGAAATTTTATAGCTATGCATAGTCTAATGATGCACATTGGAACAGTTACAATGGAAAAGTAGGTCACCATAGCCTTATTTTGAATTTTATGGTAGCATATATTCAAACTGTGCCACTATGGCAATACCTTTAAAAAGCTTCTTTAAAGTAGTAAACCCATGATCGGTAAAATAAATATGGAAGCCTCCTTAGGTAGTGTAGATTAAATTTGTTCAAATCATGACCCCCCAAGGGTTGGGTGGGGCTACGTTGGGCAATCAAAGCTTAATATGGGTATATATATAGAAAAAAAATCTTTTAAAAAATCTTCCCAAGAACAGCAAAGCCATGATCAGTCTATCAATAGAGGAGATAGATAGTGTAGAATATAATTAGCTGCAAAACTGTAGCTCTCTGGTTGAATAGAATTGAACAGACAAAATCAAAGAGCTACAGATCTAAGTATTTAAAAAAAAAAAAAAAACCTTTGATTCACGCCGATGCTTTTATCGCTCGCTAGATTATAGTTTGCAAATTATGAACCTCGGGGGTAGGGTGGGACCACAATGGGTAATCAAAGATTTCCCTGAATATATTAATAGGAAAAATCTTATTAAAAATCTCTTTAAAAATAAAAAAAAGCCATGATTAATTATATTTTTTGAAAGCATCCTTAGATTTTTTAGATTGAAGTTTATTCAAATCATGACTCCTAGGAATAGGGTTTGGCAAAAATTAAGGTTCAAAGTTTTCCACAGGAAAACATAGGAAAAACCTTGAAAGAATCGTCTGATGAAAAACGACAAAGCCATCATCAGTCATAATATATGTAAGCATCCACACATAGTGTATGTTTATGTTTGTTAAAATCATAACCCCCGAGGGTAAGGTGAGGCCATTTTGGGCATAGAAATACGTAGGAAAAATGTGTAAAAATCTTCCCATAAACAGCAATGTCATGATTAAATAGTAATATTTTATAAAGAAGCATCCTTAGATGGTGTATTCAAATATGTTCAAATCGTGACCTCCAGGGATTAAGTCTTTTATGGGAATATGTAGGAAATGGAATCGGTTATAAAGAACAGGACAGGCCATTGTTACTCAGGTGAGCGTTGTCGCCCATTGGATTCTTTTATAATAGCTAAACTTAAATTGTGTCCTTAACATATCTTGCACACTCTTGAGTATAGAACCTCAAATTCTTATATAAATTATACAGACATAGAATTAGCCACAGCTCCAATGAGACTATGAGATTATATGAATATGCATCATGTAGTTTCAGATAGGTGGAACATTACCTAATGTACATTATCAACTTTATTTTTGAAAAATAATTAAAGTTTGTAGTAAATGAATTTATGAATTTAAATGGAAGGCCATTTATTTTAAAAAACTTTCTGATTGGCATAGGCAAAATCATTTACTGCTCTGTACAAAATATATAATTGTATAATATGATTATATAAAAAATGATATGAATTGTAATTTTAATATAATGATAATTGTGGACATGTATATTATTATATAGTATTTTTATTATTTTGAAATATTAATGCATATGAATGTATAGATAGATAAATGAATATTGAATGAAGTTTGATGGGTCTTTTGTTGTTGCATAGGGTGAAGAGTATAACTAATATGTGACACCCTAATAGTGTTTGGAACCTTTCCATTAAAAAAAAATTTTGCAAGATTTATTGAGACTACAGTGAAACTGATGATGGATCAGGCCCCAAGACCATAAACTGAGAACAGACTTAAGTCAAAATTTCAAATCGATAGAACTTTTGAAATAATTTTGATAATTAAATAAAATTTTTCTCATAAGTTTGAATTGAAGTGTTATGCACAATTGCAAATTTTTAAGCTAATAAATTAAATGAAACTTAAGATATTAAAAATAAAAAAAATGACTTAAGTCTGTTCTCAGTTTATGGTTTTGGGACCAGGTGGACCAGGTATATTCACTGAAATATAACTAGAAACTGACAAGCATGTTAAGACTTGGTAAAGTTGAAAAGTTATGAATTAAGTTATAAAGTAAGTTATGTTTTAGTTATTTTAGTTTTCACCGCTGCACAATAAAAGTGGAAATTTACCATAATCTCGCTTTAATAATTCATGGATTTTGGTAATTGTGTATTTAAAGGCAGAGATTTTAAGCACCGCCTTCAAAAATACCTGGTCTGTGTCCCCCTGTCAATCAAGTACATTAAGGTACACCACTGGGTGCTAGAACTTGATTGACATTTACTTACTAGTCCCTGTGTATACACTGTACACCTTGTTTGGCACTCGTGGTGACCTTCAAATTAACTTTTGATCCTTTGATATTTACCACACATGGTATAAACAATAGAGAAACTGTATTATCATGATTACTATGGATTTTTTAGCTTGATGACATATATATACACACACCTTTAGAATTTGAAATAATTATGATATTCTTAATGATGATATATATCAAAATTTGGTTTAATTTTTTATCAAAGCTCAACAAATACTTTGAATAATATTTTTTTTTAATGGGGGGGATGCTTTGACACACATTCAATTACAAATTAATAAAAATTATTGAGATTAAACTTTATTTACAAATTTTTATTTCTAATTTAAAATCATTTCAAAATCCCAACACAGGTAAAGTTTGACTTCTTGGGTACTCTACTGTGTATTTAATCACTTCCTGTGTATAGGGATTAGGAGACAAACGACCACAGGTAGACTGCTAGCCCTCAAGGCATTCACGCCTGTCCAAAATA